GAGAGAGAGAGAGAGAGAGAGAGAGAGAGAGAGAGAGAGAGAGAGAGAGAGAGAGAGAGAGAGGACAAATTGATTGACTAATTGATTGACCGAATGATCGATTGATTGATTAGATGATTGACGGACTGAATCATTGTTTGACTGACTGAATCATTTCATTGAGAGATTGAATCATTGATTGAATGATTGATTGATTGATTGACTGACTTATTGATTGATTGATTGATTGATTGATTGATTGATTGATTGATTGATTGATGGTTGATTGATTGATTGATTGATTGATTGACTGAATGATTGTTTGATTGACAGATGGACCAATTCATTGATTGACTGAGTGATAAATTGATTGGTTCCTTGACTGACTGATTGATAGACCCACTGATTGACCCATAGATTGTTTGATTGATTGACTGACTGATTGATTGAACGATTGATTGATCGATTGATTGATTGACTGAGTGATCGATTGATTGATTGACCGACTCACTGATTGATTGATAAAATGCACAATCGATTGAATGATTGACACACTGACTGATTGTTCGACTGTCTTGTTGCTAGACTTACTGATTGATTGTTAGACTGACTGATTCATTGAATGACTGACGGACTGAATGATGGTTCAACTGTTTGATTGAATGATTGATTGAATGATTGAATGATTGAATGATTGAATGATTGAATGATTGAATGATTGAATGATTGATTGATTGATTGATTGAATGATTGATAGACTGACTGAATAATTGCTTCACTGATTGATTAACCCATGAATTGATTGATTGATTGATTGTTTATTTGATTGATTGTTTATTAGATTGGTTAATTGATTGATTCATTTACTTGTTGTTTGATCGATTGAAAGTCAATCAGTCAATCGATTGACACACTCATTGATTGATTGATTGATTGATTGATTGATTGATTGATTGATTGATTGATTGATTGATTGATTGATTGATTGATTGAATGATTGATCGATTGATTGTTTGATTGATCGATAGACGGTCCCACTAACCCATTGATTGATAGACTGACCGACTGACCCGTTGATATACTGACCAACTGATAGATTGATTGATTGATTGGTTGATTGATTGCTATATTGACTGATTCATTGATTGACTGACAATCGGACCAATTGGTCGACTGTTTGTTTGATTGATTGATTGATTAATTTTTAGATTGATTCATTGATTGATTGATTGACTGATTGATTGATTGACTGATTGATTGATCGATTGATTGATGACCAATTGATTGATCGCATCACTCATTGACTGAGTAAATAATCCGTTGATTGAATGACTGATTTAATCGGCTGACCAATTGATTGATATAATGCACAATCGATTAAATGACTGACATACTGACTGATTGTTCGACTGTCTTGTTGCTAGACTTACTGATTGATTGCTAGACTGACTGATTGCTGGACTGACTAATTCATTGAATGACTGACGGACTGAATGGTGGCTCGATTGTTTGATTGAATGATTGAATGCTTGAATGCTTGAATGCTTGAATGCTTGAATGCTTGAATGATTGATTGATTGATTAATTGAATGAATGATTGATAGACCGACTGAATGATTGCTTGACTGATTGATTAATTCATGAATTGATTGATTGATTGATTGATTGATTGATTGATTGATTGATTGATTGATTGATTGATTGATTGATTGATTGATTGATTGATTGTTTATTTGATTGATTGTTTATTTGATTGATTATTTATTTGATTGATTAATTAATTGATTCATTTACTTGCTGTTTAATCGATTGAAAGTCAATCAGTCAATCGATTGACACACTCATTGATTCAATGATTGATTGATTGATTGATTGATTGATTGATTGATTAATTAATTGAATGATTGATTGATTGATTGTTTGATTGATCGATAGATGGTCCCACTAATTCATTGATTGATAGACTGACTGACTGACCCGTTGATATACTGACTAAGTGATAGATTGATTGATTGATTGGTTGATTGATTGCTATACTGACTGATTCAAGACTAATTGTTCGACTTTTTGATTGATTGATTATTTGATTGATTGATTGATTAATTATTGGATTGATTCATTGATTGATTGATTGACTGATTGATTGATCGATTGATTGAAGGACCAATTGATTGATCACATCACTGATTGACTGACCAATCGATTGACTGAGTAAATATTCCGTTGATTGAATGACTGATTCACTGTTTGATTGGTTGATCGAATGATTAAATGATTGATTGACTCGTTGTTTGATCGATTGACTTACCGACCGACTAATAGAATGACACACTTATTGATTCAATGATTGATTGTTTGATTGATGGATGGATAGATTGCTTGATTGCTTGATAGATTGATTGCTTGATTGATTGATGAATTGATTGATGGATTGATTGATGGATTGATTGATGGATTGATTGATGAATTGATTGATGGATTGATTGATTGATTGATTGATTGATTGATTGATTGCTCGATCGATCGTTTGATTGGATGATTGTGTGTGTGTGTGTGTGTGTGTGTGTGTGTGTGTGTGTGTGTGTGTATGTGTGTGTGTGTGTTTTCATATTCGCTAAAAAATAAAAAAACATGAATGTACCAGACTATTTCATCGGGCTTTAATTGACTCATTAAGAGGTTGAACCCCGAGAGTTTGCCCAGGATGCACATCGCCCGAGAGTTAAGCGATACCCGTGTGTGTGTGTGTGTGTGTGTGTTGTCATATTCGCTATACCTTAAAAAAAAACATGACTGTACCAGATTGTTTGGTCGCGGTTTCACCCCCTCATCAAAAGATTGAACCCCGATAGTCTCCCCATGATGCATTTGACAGATGGATAAGAACTGAGCACATCGCCTAGAGTTAGCGATACTTGTGTGTGTGTGTGTGTGTGTGTGTGTGTGTGCGATATGGTGAGTCCTTATCCATCGGCAAATGCATCATCGACAGACTATCGGGGTTCAACCTCCTCATGAGTCGGTGAAAGTCCGAGGAAACAATTTGGTACAGTCATGTTTTTTCTTTAGGGTATAGCGAATATGACAACACACAATACGACCTTGCTAAACTCTCCGTTCAACGGATCGATGCGGCTAGGGTCGGGACCGTACTAGCGGTCATGCCATTGGCTGTCCATGGCTGAGTGGGTGTGTAGAGTGGGTCTTATGACTATGTCATA